GGGCTTCCTGCTCCTTGGGAGCCTGCTTCTCCCTCTGCCTCTCTCTCTCTGTCTCTCATGAATAAATAAATAAAATCTTTAAAAAAAAAAAAAAAGAGCAGGTAATCTCTTGGGCCTTTGTTCTCTAGGGCTATGTAGTCTTTTATCCAGTCCCTTCTACGTCTGCTTCTTTCTGTCTCTCTTTGCAGTATCTCCATTTTCTTAATTCATGGTCAACTGAGTCCTCTCAGCTTGATGTGTCCTTCATTGAAGAATCAGCAAAGACTGACCAATGGCTTTGTATTCCGACTCCAAAGTTCTAGGAAAAAACACTTCATTTAGGCTGAGAAGTCCGGGATCCCTTGCCCCTGGGGACAAACAACTGCAGCTATGGCGGAAAGGCAAGGTCACATGTCATAAAAATGGTTGCCCGGGTTCACGGAAACCAGTTTTCAGAGAAGTGTATGGGTTGGCAACCTCCTTCCCAAATGCTTGTATTATTACACTGGTGTGTGTGTTCACTGTATTAACATTCTTTGCATATACAGGTTTGTTTGGGTTAAGATCATAAGAATATTTGCAGGCAACTTACCCTTCCAGAACAAACCTTTTTGTATTCTTCCATGACCTAACAAATATAGAATTTGTATAGACTTAAGATAGAAATCTGCATTCGTTTTCTGTCACTGCAGCAAACTACCACAAACTGGGTATCTTAAAACAACAGAAATTTATCCTCTCACAGTTCTGTAGGCCAAATATCCAAAATCAAGGTCTTGGCAGGGTTGGTTCTCTCTGGAGGCTCTGAGGGAGAAATCATTTTATGCCTCTTTCCCCACTTCTGGTGGTTGTTTGCAATTCTTGGCATTCCCTGGCTTGTAAATGCATTGCTCCAATCTCTGCCCCCATCTTCACATTCCCTTTTCCCTGTATTTCTCTTCTATCTCTTATAATTTTCACTGGATTTAGAGTCCACCCTAATCCAGTATGATTTCATCTCAATCTTTTACCCTAATTACATCTGCAAAGACTCTTACTCCAAATGAGATTCCATTTTGAGGTTCTGGGTGGACATGAATGTTGGGCGTACATGATCCGACCCACTACCACATCCGTAATGCCTCTCTGTGACTAAGACCCCAGGAGTCCCACTCGTCCCTCCAAATTGATTTATTTTACTTTTACCAAACACTTAATATGTGGCAGGCACTGTTCTATCACAAATAATAGCTCATTTAATAGTTGTTATAAATTGGTATTGTTTTTTTTCCCGGGTGGTCCCTCTCATGAGTGAAAGGCTGACCACCTGCCCTCAGCAGCTGGTCCAGGGCTTTGTCTGTGGTCACTTTGATAAAGACCCACAGGAGACCCAGCTGTAGCTGCCCGACACTGACAGTCCATGTGGGCTCTCACTTAGAAGTAAAATATCACCTCCTGGAGAAAGCGAAGTAAGAGATTCAGGAACCCTACCAATGAGATTTAAGATTTTTTATGTAAATATCTCCACGGAAAAGAAGCAGCAGGACAGGTCCCTGAGGAAAGAAAGAGAGGGATAATAATGAAGACAGCTGAGCAGCCCTGGCAGGAGGCTGGAACAACTGAGCCGTGCCATGCAGTGTTCATAGTGTTCAGCGATGTTCCCTGCACTTCAGGGACAGTCTGGACGACGTGCCCCACGGGTTTTTCTTCATTGCCACTTGTGTCTCCTCTCCTCCCCTCAGACCCAGAGAGCCAACTCTTCACTGAGGTGCTCAGCTGGACCGAATACTTTTTAGTATTTGTCTGTTTTGTTTTAAAATACCAAGAGGATCTATAACATAGTAAGCTGGGAGCCAAATACGAATCCAACAAATGAAATTTTATTTCCTTTTAGCGGAATAACCAACCTAAGAGTTGGCATAATATTGGAGCTCTCAGTTTAGTTAGAACTGATTTTTATTAGCCCTGGGGATGCAATGCTGTGTTTTCAGTGTGTTTACGTCTTCAGGAAGCGTAGGTGAGCTGAAATCTCCATTCTGGAGGCACTCCATAATGTGTAGTGCCTTGTGGTCCGCCAGAAGGATTAACTGCCAACAGGTGACAAAGGTACATTTCATAGAACAATGAATGGATAAAAATGATTCATGTCACAGAATCAAGGACTTATACATAGTAAGAATATTACCCACAATGGGAAGAACTGAAAGCTGGGATAAATTATGACGCCCTCTGTTCCAAACACAAAGGAATGGAAAACTGCCGCAACCCAATGCAAGCAAGACTCCTAAAGAGGCCTACATCTTTCAGAAATGAAGTACTATATGGTGACTAACAACATAAATAAAAAAAATAAATAAAAAATATTTTTAAAAAATAAATTCACTGGGTGTTATATGAAAACAATGAATTGTGGATCACCACATCAAAAATTAATGATGTACGGTGACTAACGTAACATAATAAAATAAAATTTTAAAAAAATAAAATAAAGAAAGAAAGAAAAAAAAATTAAAAAAAAAAGAGTCATAAATACCAGCTACAACCAGCAGGACCAGTCAGAAACAAAGAATACCATGGCCATGAGTATTTACTCCTTATTATTAAAGAATATTAATATGGAGCATTTCCTTATTGTTTATCATGAATAAAACTGTACATATGTGTGGGTATCTTTGTTTTCTCTCTTATTCTCGTGTCATGTAATATAAGACGTATTAACTTCACATCACAGTAACTTTTTAATTGATGCATATAAATATTAATTTTACATAATAGTATTTAAGTTGCAGGATATCAAGGTAAAGAGTAAACATGATGCAAGTACTCTACCTCCTCTTCTGAGGAAAAGGTTAGTGTCGTTTTGGTTGTATACAGTATGCTTGTATCTTGTTAGGCAGAATTATGACATTGTTACTGGCTTTATTTTGAGATTAAGTATAATTTAAGGAGATGGGTGTGGGTGCCAAGTTCATAAGGGGTGGATCTGTGATGGCTAGTTTCATGTATCAACTTGACTGGGTCATGCAGTACCCACATATTTAGCTATTGTTTTTTCTCAGTGTATCTGTGAGAGCATTTGTTGATTGGCTTAGCATTTGAATTGGTGGACTCAGTAAGGCGGATTGCCCTCCCCAGTGTGGGTGGGCATCATCCAATCCACTGAAGGCCTGAATAAAACAAAAGCCATGGGGTAAGTAAAAATTTGCCCTTTCTGCCTGAGCACATGAGCTAGACATTGATCTGTCCTCAGAAAGACTTATGCCATCAGTTCCCTGGAATTCAGATTTTGGACTTGAACTGAACTACCCACCGGTTTTCCTTGGTCTCCAGCTTTCAGATAGCAGGTTGTGGGACATCTCAGCCTCCATAACTAAGAGATAATCCCTCATAGTAAACCTTATAATATACATTGGTTTTGCGTTCCTGGAGAGCCCTGACTAATACAAAGTATCCCTTTTTTCCTTTCTCCTACTTAATAATATTCCATATAGATACTTCATATAATATCTGGTCATATAGACTGACATACTCTAACAACTCCAGATTGGAATAAAATCAGTCCATACCTAAATTTTTACTTACCTTTTGGGTTAAAACAACAACAATAATGAAAAACATAATGGCTAATTTTTTTCAAATAATACCAAAGCAAGGGAAGTTACCTTAGAATAGACACATGTGTACCATACTGACAGCATTTTAAATAAGTATAGTCTACCTTTTTGGAAATAATTTTGGTATCATGTATTTATGCAGTATTTCCAATTATTTTCTTTGGCTTTAGAAGACACATTTTGGGGCGCCTGGGTGGCTCAGTCGGTTAAGGGTCCAACTCCTGATTTCAGCTCAGGTCATGATCTCAGGGCTGTGGGATTGAGCCCCAAGTAGGGCTCCACACTGAGCGTGGAGCCTGCTTAAGATTCTCTCTCTCTCTCTCCCTCTGCCCCTCCCCACACCTCTCCCTTTCTAAAAAAACAAACAAACAAAAAAAAGACATATTTTGTTGGAATTAACCTAGACCTTTACTTACGGGGCATGGTTTTGTTCTTTTTGACCTTTACTTATGGGGCATTGGTTAGTTGGTGGATAATTTATCTTACCATATATATAAGTAGAGCAATTTAGTCTTGAGAACTATCAGGAGACCTAAGCCTGACAAATCTTTTTTTTTTTGAGAAAGAGAGAGAAAGCCTGAGTCCTCGCAAGTGGGGGGAGGGGTGGAGAGAGAGGAAGAAAAAGAATCTTAAGCAGGCTCCACACCTAGCCCACACAGGTCTCTCCAGGCAGGGCTCGATCTCACGACCCTGAGACAGCCACCTGAGCCAAAATCAAGAGTCCGACGTTTAACGAACTGAGCCACCCAGGCACCCCTAAGCCTGATAGATTCTTATTACATTTTACTTGTGAACTTTTCTTTTCTTTTTTTTTAAAGATTTTATTTATTTATTTGAGAGAGAGAGAGTGAGAGAGAGAGCGCAAGAGGGGTAGGGTTAGAGGGAGAAGCAGACTCCCCGCTGAGCAGGGAGCCTGATGTGGGACTCGATCCCGGGACTCCGGGATCATGACCTGAGCCGAACGCAGTCGCTTAACCAACTGAGCCACCCAGGCGCCCTACTTGTGAACTTTTCAACTTCCAATTCTCTTATTTAAAACTTAAAAAGTGATTTCAAGAAAAAGGTCAAATCTTAACCTATCTCCACAGTACTAACTGAATTAGAAACCCAGCAGAAATAAAATATAAGAGTTCATGATATTACATAACTGTGTTTTTGTTTTTTGTTTTTTTTTTTCAAATTAGCCATGGTGGAAGAAGAAAGCATTCTCTTCCACTTTTTGCCGTTAGCTGCCCTGTCTCCCTACCCTTGATTATATTCAGGCCCTTGATAGCAAACTGTCAATTCTGGCTGGAAAGGGGAAAAAAGAGAAGTAGAAATTTGTAGTTCAGGGCTGGCCATTCTAAAATTTTCATGCCTTTGCCTCTTAGCAGCACATTTTCTTAAAAGGTGCTCATATACTTGCTTCCTCCAAGAACTTAAGCTTGTTAATGATGCCGTAGCTTGGGGTGGGTGAAAGCCTCCATAGAAAGATAGAAAAGGACAACATGGAACAAAAGTCCCAGTGAGAAGTCCAGCTCTGTCAATGATTTTAGCAAGTCCTGTTACCTTTCTAGGATCAAAAGTTCTCACCTATAAAATGAAGAGGGGATCTGGTTCATCTGCTCTCTTCTTACCCCTTTCCTACTGTGACACACATAACAGATGATCATCTCATGATCCCACTGAGAAAAAAAAAAAAAAAGAGAAGAAATGGTTTAGCTCACAGACATATCCACCTGAAAACTATGTCCACATACGAGAACGGTCTTCTTAAGAATGTCTATATAATGGGTATTATTATTGTTAAAAAAAATAAAAAGCTTTTTATATGTTTGAAAAATAACTGAGGAAAATCCAAAACATTTTCGGAGACATACAGCAAAAGGCAAGCAGATTTGTTTATTTATTTTTTATCTGTTTGTTGTTGGTTTTGTTTTAACATAACATGAGGGGCTATAATATAGTCCACTGAGAGTCAAATAAGAGGTCAGCAAATGAACTTTATTTCCATCTAGTAGAGTAACCAATATAGAAGTCTATCCTTATCTATAGTCTTGCTGTCCCCAGTTTCGGTTACCCATGCTCAACCGTGGTCCTGAGGCAGAGGATCCTCCTGAGGACCATCAGAAGGTCAATGGTACCTTAAGGCCATGTTACAATGGCTACCATCGTCATTCTCCTCACTTCGTCTCAACACATAGGCATTTTATCATCTCACATCATCACAAGAAGAAGGGTAAGTAAATATTTTTAGAATGAGAGAACATTCACATAAGTTTTATTACAGTATATTGTTTTAATTGTTCTATTTTATTATTGTTAATTTTTTACTGTGCCTAATTTATAAATTAAACTTCATCACAGGTGTGTATGTAAAGGGAAAAACCTGGTGTATATATAGGGTTTGGTACTATGCCCAGTTTCAGATATCCACTGGGAGTCTTGGAACATATCTTCTGTGAGTAAGGGGGGGAATACTGTATAATGGTTAAGGGAGGCCTGTTTTTTGGTTGTTGTTGTT